ATTTTAAAAGGTTATTATCTAGAATTGGAGAATAAGGTTTTAAAATTTTAGGATCTTATAAAACGAGAATTTTAATCTTAGAATTTAAATTCTAGAAATCTAGAAATAAGTCTGAGAAACATAAAAATTAATAAGATTCTCGAAAGATTTGAATCCTATGCCACAAATTTGTGTTTGAAATTCTTACAAACTCAGAATCTAAAAATTTGATGTTTTCTCAAAAATTTTGAGACATAGAAATGTTAGAAATTAAATTTTGAAAAAACAAACTTCTAAATCGTGTAAATTACAATTTCAAAACTCTATAAAACTTGAAATTCTAAAATTTCATGTTTTTCAAGTCTCAATTCTAAAAACATAGATTTAAATAGAATTACAAAAAGCTGGAATTTCAAAGTTTCTAATATCTCAAATCGTATTTCTTAAGATTCTAAAATTTTATTGTTTAGAAATGTTGAATCAAGGTTCTAAAATCTTCAAAAAATAGTTTTTAGATTCTTAGAAATTGACAATTCTAGCAGCAAACTGGAATTCTAGAATCAAACATTCTTCTTCAATTGTTGAAACTCAGAAACAGAAAATTTTTAGAAACCTAAAATACTTCTCGAATTCCTCGAATCAAGACTTATAATTTTTGAATTCTAAAATTTAGTGCTAAACTCTAGAAATATGATTCTCAGAAGAACACAAATTTTTGTTAGAAATTTTTACAAATCCAGAATCTTAAAGTTTGATATTTTAGAATCTAGAATTTTGAGACAGAAATGTTAGAAAGTAGATTTGGAAACAGCAAACTCTATAAAACTTGGAATTCAAAATTTCATATTTTTCAAGTTTCAATTCTAGAAGCCTAGAATTAAAGAGCTAGATTTTAAAGATTTTTTAATTTTTTTAATTGTATTTCTTGGGGTTTTAAAATTTATTGTCTAGAAATGTAGAATCAGGGTTTTAAAACCATAGATTCTCAGAAATTGACAATTCTAGAAAGAACTTTTTTAGCAATCTAGAAATCTAGAATCTAGAATTCTTCTTCGACTGTTAAATCTTATCAGAAACAGAAATTTTTGGAGTTTTGAATCTAAGAAACTCACACTTGAAATCTAGAATAGAAATTCTAGAAATAGATTTCTTAGGAATCCCCAACAGTTACCGCCACATGCACGGCTATGGTTCCAACACCTTCGCCCTTGTGAACGAATACGGACATTTTTTCTACTGCAAATTCCACTACAAAACCAACCAAGGCATCGTCACCCTTGATTCAACCAAAGCCACCCAAATCGCCGGTCAAGACCCCGACTACCACACCCGTGACCTCTACAACGCCATTGCAACAGGAAACTACCCATCATGGTCCTTCTACATCCAGATAATGACCCCCGAACAGGCCGAAAAGCACCCATGGGACCCCTTCGACGTCACCAAAGTCTGGCTCCATGCCAACTACCCCTTAATCCCAGTGGGCAAACTCGTCCTCAACCGCAATCCCAAAAATTATTTCGCCGAAGTCGAGCAAATGGCCTTCGATCCTGCCCATTTAATCCCTGGGATTGAACCCTCGCCCGATAGGATGCTCCAGGGCCGGCTTTTCAATTATGGGGACACCCATAGGTACCGTCTGGGGGCTAATAATCTGCAATTGCCGGTCAATAGCCCCTTCAAGCTTCATAATTTCAGCAGGGATGGGTTTGCCACTTTGGATAGTCAAGGAGGGGCCCCCAATTACCACCCGAATAGTTTTGGAGGGCCGGATGATGATAAAAGGGCCCTTGCCCTGTCGCCCATATGGCCAGTGGGGGGGAATGCAGGGAGGTATGATAATGGAGGGGAGGATTGGGATAATTATGGGCAAGCCAGGTTGTTGTACCATCGGGTTTTGAAGGAGGAGGAGAGGGAGAGATTGGTGGATAATATAGTGAGTTGGTTGAAAAATGCCGCTGATTTTTTGCAAGAAAGGGCCATTGGGAATTTTTCCAAAGTTGATGAGGATTTTGGAAGGAGGATTAAAGCAGGGATTCAAGCCAAAAAGAAGACCAAAACGCAGGCCAATCTTTGAATTTTTGTATTTCTGGTCAGAAATAAAATATCCAGCATTTTTGAGTTTGTTTCAAAAAAATTCCCT